TTTACAGTGAAAGCAACTGATTATGATAATGTAGACAGCTGAGCTGTTCCAATATATTTAAGACTTTTAAATTAAATTTGGAGTCACCTAACTTTATAAAAATACATGTTAATATATTAAATACTCAACAAAGATCCAGGATAATGGGGTATTTAAAAATACATTTCTCTTGGATCAGCACCAAAAATATCTTTAGTTTCTGTTCTACCCGTGTCAAGTTTTTAAGTAAAGGTAAGTTAAAATTATTCCTCTTAAAAATCACAACTCCACAGAAATCATTAAAGATATATCTAAACAACTCTCAAATACATTTTTGACATCAAGATCAGACGATTCACTAGGAAGAACATTATACTGAGTAGCACTGAATTTTTGTAGTAAGACTTTTGATGTCAACTTTGTATAATGGGAATATTTTATGTCACACACAAAGGAGGCACTGGTACTTACAAACTTAAGAAAATTACTAGAACTATTAAGACTGAGGTGAAGAATTTGTACAGCCTTCCACAATTTCAAAGAGGTAGTGATAGATACTTGTCCTCCTGGCAATATCAAATGCAGTTTCTTCCAAGTTGTTCTTCAAATCTGGTTTGATATAACGGTTCATTAGGAGGAGTTCTAGGGTCTCTTTGCTGTCTCTGTTTCCAGCAGCAAGATGCAAGGGAGTCAGAAGGCCTTTTGTTTGAGCATTGACATCTGCATCATGCTGAAGTAAGAAAGAAGCCACTCTGGTATTGTTCCACTTACAAGCACTATGCAGAGGTGTCCAGCCATCCACAGTTACTGCATGCACATCTGCCCCTTGCGCAACCAGTTCACGGACAATATCTAAATGTCCACTGTAGGCTGCTCGATGAAGAGGGGTATACTCATCCTCATCTCTAGTGTTTACATGAGTGGCTTTCTCAGAAAGTAGTCTCTGCACTGTAGTAAGCTGAAAAGGAAAAAAAAAAAAAAGACCTCTTCAAAAAACCCAACTCAAAGCAAAACAATAAATAAAGAAAATGAAATTGTTCAGCAGTTTTACATTTAATTAAGTTAAATAAAAAACTGTTAAGAGATGAATTTTAAAATGAAAATAATTTAAGATTTCTTTTTTGGGGCAATAGGGCAACTGGTTTACTAATGAACAATTTAGTGTTAACTATACTCAGTTGCTTCTAAGAATCTGATTCTCTGAATATCAAACCACACATTTAGTCCTGGTCTAATTAAGACTTACTGCACAAAAGCTTTAGCCCTAAATGAATAATACAGGCTATAATTATGTTTACTATTCTATATTTCATCTGCAAAGGAAATATAACATTAATTTTCTTATAATAGCATCATTCGAATAAATAGTATATAAAACTTATAAAAATGAAATTTCCTTTAAGAATAAAATGGTGAAAGGAAATCCAAGGACTTAAAGGCTCAATTCCTTCTGAATATGACCTCAGAAACCTGCCACCAGGCAGTGATTTTCAGTTTAATTTATGAACCTCTAGAGGGCTGCTGGGTGTCCTAGAGCTAAAAAGCTATTAAACAATGCTAAATTCTTATAGGTATTAGTTTACCAACAGACATGGGAGAACATAATAAAGTGAAGTGGAAGTGGCCAAGTAGAAAGAATAGTTTTTTCGTGTTAATTCTACTAGGATAATCCTGGGAAAATTAATATTAACACTTATTGTATGGATACGTGAGGATTAAATAAAACAATGTAGTAAGCTAACTGGTACAGTTGGTATTTAATAAATGTTAATTTCCATTTTACCTATTTTAAACAATGTTTACCCATAGGATAATTCTAATAACTTATAAATGCTTTAAAAATATAGATAATTGCTTGCTATCCTTATTGTTAATTATTCTTAAACCCCCAAATAATACCTAACATGACAGTTTATAATTTAATATGTGCTTTTGCGTACATTGCTTAATTTGATTCTCACCATCCTGTACAACAGAAACAGATATTATGGTGGCCATTTTTACATATAAGAAACTAGAGGTTCAGAAATGGAATTTGCTCAAAGATCAAATAGAGGGGTGGGGCAGGTCTTTAGGTTCTAAACCCAAAGTTTTTCTTACTATGTTATGGTTCCCCTTTTTTCCTTTTTTTTTTTTTTTTTACCCGATTTTTTTCAGCAGCCCAAAGCAGCAATTTGCTTGGATCTTTCTCCATTTTTTTTTCTTGTAATTGATACCACTCTTCATTTTTTTCATCTTGCTCTTCATCTTCATCAGAATTGCCTACCCAGAGACTTTGGGTACCAGTGGGAATAAGATGTCCATGTGTTTCCAACAATTCAAGTTGATTAAAATGTTCAGAAAAGTCCAAAGAATTCTCTGGGTCTGGTTTTCCTTCATCATTTATTTTTGTTTTTTCCATTTTTAACTACTATTCTAAGTAAAAAGCATTTCAAATGCTAGGATATAATCTTTCTAGGGATGAATTATGCCTGCTTTATTGTTTTCATCAAGATCTGAAAACACAAACACAAAAATTATTAGCAAAACACTAACTGAAGCTTTATCAATAGCACAGAAACCAGTTTTGCAAGCATGCACAAATAAACATTATCTAAACTGGTCGTTTTCTCAAGATGCTCATTAATCATATTAAATACTGGAGCTAACAGATTTCAGTTATCTATGATCTTTAACGATCTAGCCATTCTTCTTTTCCTTCTAGTAAATGAATGGCTATGCCTGTTATTTTGAACCTATTAGTTTAAGTATGATGGTATTCAGTGAAGGGTGATGAATGCTTAAATTTTTTGAAGTATAACTAATACAATAAATACAGATATAATGACAATTTTTATAAACCAGATGCATAGATAATACAAAGCATAAACAAAAATTTCTAGTTTTTAAGAGACAATTTGAAAAAATTCTTAAGACAAAATAGGCCCCAAATGATATCTTTCCCAAATCTCTCACTGGTACAGATAATTTTATCACTATATTTGTAATAATTATCCTATTTCTACTTTAATAATTTCAGGCCTAGGAAAACTAATTGCTTCAAAAAGTAGACCTATTTGCTGACAGAAAACTATAGTTCTTAGTTGGCTCCTTGTTTCTGAACTGAATTTTGGTTGTCATTTACTCATTCACTCAAAAAATATGATTTTTTAGGAACTGGGATTCAATAATGAACAAGATCCATGTCTTTTCCTCAAGAAGATTCCTGTCTGGTGCAGGTGACTGCAAAGATAATATGAGCCCTATCTAGATACCTTGAGGTATCTAGATAGGGCTCATATTATGAGGGTCATAATTCACCCATTCCTGGAGATGGAAGAAAGCTTCCGGCAGATGTTTATTCTACTTAGCTGCAATATTAATTTACAAATTAATATCAGCTTAAAGAGTTACATAGCACATAAGCCTTAATCAATTAAAGAAAATGAAAATGTTATTTTAAAAATATAATTTATCAGTCTCCAAACTGCACTTTTTGAAATCTTAACCAATCTTTCAAGACTATTCTCAGAATGTTCTCCCTTTCATTCGTTCTTGAACCTCCCAATTAGATCTTTCTCCTTTGTTCTTTTTGGTGCTATATTTTGTCTTGTTTTACCATGAACTTTGTTTCTGATGCTTAAAGATCATAAACTTAAGGCTAGGGACTTTGTTTAACTAACATTTAAGTTCCACTTGTATACAGCAAGTATTGAGAAACAGCAATAGTATTAAATTTAATTAAAGCCCTGTCATTTGATTCTGCCTGGAATAGATTCTGAGAAGATCCAGAATTAGTCATACACCTAAGATACTAATTTTGTTCTACTAAATTCCACAAATTTAAGAATATACAAATCTACTGTGATATTAAATATTGCTTACTAGAAGCAGGATCATGAAACTCAAGCTTAAATCTATCACTTATGACCAGTAACTTCTCTAGGTCTGTAACTTCATTGTAAAATGTAAGGATTGTACAAAGAATTTCTAAGGTCCATCCAACTTTTTGGAGTCTATTGAGAGACCTCATCGGACTTGCTTTGTGTTATATTAGTTCCCTTGGAGTTTCCACTTTTTTCTTTATTCTCAAGCTATTTTCTGAACCTCGCAACACAAAAGTGATCAAATTCATTAAATAGGTAACAGATACCTACATAAAGTATGGATCGCTTGTATTTACATCAGATATAATAATATTTTAGCACAAATCTCACTGACTTCCCACAAGAAGTCTTTCTTTTTCCATAGCCCTTCATATAAATTCTGAACTTTTAAAGTTCCAGATAAAATATATTTAATTTAAAAAGTCAAACCCAGATGCATCTTCTTCGTTCAGGGTTTAAAAATAAAATGATCAAGATTCTTACTCGATGATATCCGATTAGGAAGTAATAGGGTGACAAATTCAGTGACAGATTAAAACAACCTGTTAAATTCAGATCAAGGACCCTTCTGTGGAGCTGAAAGCCCGATCTTCAAATTAAAAAGTTCCACATTACTTTTACTGCACTATATTTTGTTCTCAGCAAAACGCAGTACAGATGTGCTGAAGCCGGGGATTCACGGGCGACAAGGGGGAGCAGGGAATAAAGTCTGAGAACTAGAGGGTGTAGTGAGGCGGGCGGGGCGGAGGAAAGACGGCCGCCAGACCCGACTCTGCCACCGGCTAGTCACTCGCAGGCCCGCGGCCTTCCAAACAGCCAAAATCGAAGAAGCCACCATGATCTTACCTAGGACCCGCCAAATGGCCTGACCTCCAGGGCTCGGTAAGGGCCTAAGGTGACCACCCCTTTGGACCCAGTAGTTCTTAACTGCTACTCCACCTGGAAACCTGGTCCGGGACCTGGAGGAATTACCCACCTTACAGAGGAAAGTCGCCGCTGCGAATCTTGCTTCCGGGTTTGTCCCCTGGGCTGCTCAGGATTGGCTCCCGTACGGGGGCGGGGCCTTACCGCTACTTTCCTTACCCCCTCTCGACATTCCGCAGCCAATGAAACTCGAAGAGGACTTGAGAAGCCTACGTCATTAACGAGACATCGCGAGAAACACGGATGCTGTTCTCTCGCGCCTAATTCAGGTTTATGACCCTTGGTGTTTCCGAGGCAGACTGCTTGCTTTTCTACTCACGAATCCCTCCCCTTCTTCCTGGATAGAAGACAGTCTTGGTCCGGAAGGTGGGGCTTTGAAGAGTCCAAGTGTGGGGTAATTTAGGCATCGTATCCATCTCCTAGCTTTCTAGGTTCTGAGGCGGAAGCCCAGAGTGAATGGGACGCTCTGACGAGCGTGGGCCGCTGAGTGGCTGAGGAGGGGTGTAGAGAGCTCATGGCTCTGACTTCGAGTCCCACCGCGGCTAGAGCTTGGCGACTCTTGGAATCCCAATGCAACCTGGAACTCCGGACGTGTAAGCCGGTGACAGCTTTTCCTTCCCAAGTCTGACTACTTAAAAGTTGTCCTGCAGGCTCTCAAAGGTGTTTCTCCACGTGTTTGATTTATTTTTTTCTAGCTTTAAACATGGAGTCCCTCTCTTATGAAAACAATCCCGATCTTTTAAAAAGGTTGTTTTGGGCCAGGAAATCCTATGCGTACAATTTAACACCCAGAATTGTGTGCTGTATTAGAATCTTACGTGACCCTTACCGTACATTTATTAATATGCATTAATTTTCCATAAGAGCAAGGGAAAAGAAACACTGTTATGTTAACCATAGCAGTGATATTAAAGTGGCACTGAAGATGAATTATTGTCTATTATAAACTCATTAAAAAATAATAGTAGGCGCTTAGATGAAAATGAGACTTTCAGAATTGCCAGTCTGATTATTTAAGAAGTCTGTACCTATGCAGCCTAATTGAAAATGGTTAAATATGTGCAACCTTTTAACAAATATGTTTTTGATATTTGTTTTTAGAATTTGGAAACGATTGACACATTTGAACACAGGACCTAGGAGTTATTGGAGAGAAATCTTGCCCTTGTGGAGCCCTACTGACCATAAAAAAAAAATGAGTACTGCTGATGCACTGTAAGTCCATCTTGCCTTATAGAATCCTTTGGTTACTTTGGGTTTACAATGATTATTAACTATGACCACCTTAAAAAAAATAAATTAGCTGGTAATACTAGAGGCTTAGGAGGTTGAGGCAGGAAGATCACGAGTTCAAAGCTAGCCTCAGCAAAAACAAGGTGCTAAGCTACTAAGTGAGACCTTGTCTCTAAATAAGAAACAAAATAGGCTTGGGGATGTGGCTCAGTGGTCCAGTCCTCCTGAGTTCAACCCCCAGTACCCCCAACCAAAAAAAAATTACCAGTAAATAAAGAAATTGCCTGTGAACAGAAGTGTTAATCATCAAAAAGAATATTTTCAATGTTTAAAAATCCATTCTATATGTTTATTAAAACTGTGAAGCTATAGATTGGAGTCTTGGAGTACTTTGTTATGTTGCTGTAGTAAGGTTATGTTCTTAGACTTTATTAAAATATTGAAGCTATAGATAGCCTTGAATTTTCATGATAAAGTTTTATTCATGAAGTTCTGTTTAAGCAGAATTTTAGAGTAAATTAATGTAGTATCAAATATATTGAAAATGAATTTGGATAAAGTCTAAATAAATAAAAGTCCTAAAAATGTTAGGTGGAAAAAGCCTTAGACTTTGAGTCTTTCATTGTAGTTTTAAGACATTGGTGAAAATTAGACATATGACCTTGGAAATTCAGCAGTTCTCTGAGCCTAGCCTCAATTTCTTAATTTGTATAATTGGAATAATCATGCCTTTCTCAGATTAGTTTTGAGATTTAAATGAGAGAAATCATGTGAAAATACTTTATACATTGCTGTGGAAGGATGTAGTAATGTGATCTGAAAAGCTTGTATACAGTAATCAGAACTTTGTGCATATCATTTTTGAAGTTACTGAAGAGAAATATTTCTGGAAATGCTTTTCATATATTAATATTTTAATTTTGTATAAAAAGGGCTGGGGATGTGGCTCAAGCGGTAGCGTGCTGGCCTGGCATGTGTGCGGCCTGGGTTCCATCCTCAGCACCACATACAAAGATGTTGTGTCCGCCGAAAACGAAAAAAAAAAAAATTTTTAAAAATAATAATTTTGTATAAAAAGATTTAAAGGGGCTGGGGTTGAGCTCAGTGGTAGAGTGCTTGCCTAACATGTGTTAGGCACTGGGTTTGATCCTCAGCACCACAAAAAAATAAAATAAAAGCATTATGTCTATCTACAATTTAAAAAATAATAATAAAAAGATTTTGGGGCTGGGGATGTGGCTCAAGCGGTAACAAGCTCGCCTGGCATGCACGGGGTGCTGGGTTTGATCCTCAGCACCACATAAAAATAAAAATAAAGATGTTGTGTCCACCAAAAACTGAAAAAATAAATATTAAAAAAATTCTCTCTTCTCTCTCTCAAAAAAAAAAAAGATTTTAAAGATTATAGTTTAGTAAAAATAACCTGAGTTTTCATGTGGCTTTTAGTTCTGTTTCTGAAATTAGTTGAGTGATAAATCAATTTTTCAGTATCTAGACTTTTCATTTTTCAGGTATAATAATGCCTACCTCGTTATTGACTAGGAGTTATGATGAGATCATAGATATAAAAGTATTTGGAAAATTAAAATTTACATTGTTTAAGAGAATATTAATTGCTATTCCAGTGCTGCTTCACATGAAATTACCTCTGCCAGATTTTATTTGAATTGAAATTTCTTTTTTCACTTGGTAAAATTTATTAATGAAAAGTTAACTTTTTATTGAAAGTACAGTCAAGCAGGTGTTTCCAGGAGCCTGAATGTAAATTACTAGCACAATAGTATAAAATCTACCTACAAACTTAGAGGAAGACTTTTTAAACTTGATTTTCCTAGATTGTAAAATCAAATAACCAAATCTAGTAATCAAGATCAAAGCTCTTTGGGTTTTTGTGCTGGGACAGAATAGGAAAACAAGCAGGCCTTTAGGTTTATTATAACAGGATTATAAATTTTTGAAGCAGTTACAGAACCTTTTAAAACTTATGTACAAATTTGTTATGTATTGAATTAGTGGTTAGAAAAATTATGTGACGTTGAGTACTTCAGATTTTCAGAACAAGTTTAACAGTAGAAAAATGACTTTACTCCTAATTGCTGTTATTTATTTTATGCTTACGTCTTAACTTACTTGAATATCCTTTTAATGCATTATATTGAAATGATATTTATTTTTTAATACAGTGATGATGAAAATACATTTAAAATCTTAGTTGCAACTGATATTCACCTTGGATTTATGGAGAAAGATGCAGTCAGAGGAAATGATACATTTGTCACATTTGATGAAATTTTAAGACTTGCCCAGGAAAATGAAGTGAGTTTGATGTATATATTTGTGTGATTCTACTATATTTCTTTGGTCAATAGTTTCTTGTCTCTTAGGTTAGATTTATTTTTAGAGGCTCTTGTGCTGATGTGGCCTCCTTACATATCAATATGCTAAAAACTCAAAGCAGATTCTGTGTTTGTGTCCTTAATAACAGTAGGATCTACTCTGGTAAATAGTCTTAAAATTTACAAATATATTATGAGGCATTTGATGAATGCATGGTCTTGTGGTAGTTTCTATTTGAAATGAAAAGATTAATATTATAGTTTATGCTTTCAAAGAACATGGCAAATCCAAATGTGAGATATGATATACAAAATACTCAGATACAAAGTCACATGTGGTAAGTGTTGGGTGCAGAGCAGGCTGAACTGTCTTGTCTGCAGGGCAGGCTGAACAGATGTTGGCTGCAAGATAGCCCACACACTGAAACCCCCCTCTATCTGGTCCTTTATCACCTGTTTGCCTCAAGTCTGAACATTCAACCCTGCTCAAGGCTGAACACTTAACCCCCCCTTGGGCCAACAAGGCAGCTTGCAGACCCAGAGGCCCCATTAGATTTGGGCTATAAAAACTCCCTCCTACCAGGCCCCCCTCTCTCTTGCTCGCTCTCTCTTGCTCTCTCTCTCTCTTGCTATCTCTCTTGCTTTCTCTGTCTCTCTCCTGCGTGTCCTTCCTCTCTCTCTCTCTCTCTTTCTTTTTCTCTCTTTTCTCCTCTGTTGCACTGCTGCAATAAAGATCTTTTGGTTGCTCCAAGTGTTGTGGTCACTTTCCTTTCAGTAAGAGTTTTAAGAAAATCATATAGTATTTCCTGGGAGTTTTAGAGGTGGAAGAGATGACATTTAGATGAGGATAGCAAGATGAGTTTAATGAAAGAGGTGACATTTAACTTGAGCTTTGAAGGAGGGCTGGATTTTGGTACTTGAAGAGCACAGAGAATGTATGTTCAAGGTGTAGCAGGAATGAAGGCACAGGCATGAAAAAGTTTCAAGTATGTTAGATGACTAGCAGGTTGGTTTGGCTTACCTATAGGCCATGTATCAGAAGGTGTGCCTAAAGACTAGAAATGAGGGTTTGAACTCCTTTAAGGAGAGCTTTGTATGCCAGAGTGAATAAGGAGTTTGTTCCCATTTCTATAGAAAGTCTCTGGCAGCAGGGTAGTATGGCTTGAATCAGACCAGTTTTAGATCTTTAAAAAGATCTTTAAAGAGATACAAGGTCAAAGATCTTTAAAAAGATCTTTTTAAAAACAGTGGCATTAGGAGTAGAAAAGAGGAAGTTAATGCAAAAGATAATACATGATAAAATTTATAATGTTTGGATAGTTGTTGATGGTGAGGATGAGGGAAAAGGAAAGACAATAATTAAAGTGTATTGAGTCTGGGTGAATGGTGGTACTGATATTAGAAATAGGGAAGTAAGAATACCGTATGCGTCATGTGTAATGATGCACACCTGTGTTCCCATTGGCTCTGGAGGCTAAGGCAGGAGAATAGTGAGTTCAAAGCCAGCCTCAGCAACTTATCGAGGACCTACTAAGGCCCTAAGCAGTTCAGTGAGACCCTGTCTCTAAATAAAAAAATATAAAAAAGGGCTGGGGATATGGCCCAATGGTTAAGTGTCCATGGGTTAAAATCCCCAGTACAAAAAAACCCCCCAAAACCCTGAGCACTCTGTGATCTTATTCTGTTTTATTTTTTTCATAGTCTCACCTGAAATAATTCAGTGAATTGTTTATTATATGTATTCTCTACTGGAGGGTAAATTCCATGAGAGTGAAAAATCTTTCCTGCTTGTTCATTCTGTATTTAAATATTTATAAAAGATCTAAAAAGCTATAGGAGCTCTTAGAACTTTGTTAATTGAGCTAGGAAATAGCTAGTATCAACTCCTTTTAAGATGGATTCTTCTTTCCCTGAGGGCAGAGAAACTTGTAACCAAAGGAAGTCTGTTTCCTGCTAGAGTCTCCTGGAAATGCTCTTTTCTTTTTAACTCTTAGGCCCTAAAGCATTTCTTTCCCTGTGCACAAGCTTCTTCTCTTGTCCATTCCTTCCATCTTGTTTCCTAATTCCCATTCCTACATCCCTTAATTTTTCCACCTCCCCATCCTCAGTGGCCCCATGCTGGAACTTCTAGATGCATATTTTAATTACTCTTTTCCTTAATTTGAATTGAAGTCTTTCATGACCTGCTATTTTTAAATAAAGAGTACAGACTGGTTATTTTGTACAATGTGCCTGCAATTGGGTATACCTGGTATTTCCTCATAATTAGATTTCAGGTTCTGCAAGTTTGGGCAGGAATACCACAATAGTGAGTTAAAACCCTTCTCGGGGTTTCCTGGAGCCACAAACTAGTTTTTAAAAATATTAAAAAAATATTTTTTAATTGTGATAGAATACACATAATATAAAATTCACTATCTTTTGAAGCGTACAGAGTTCAGTAGTAGTGAGTGTAGTCACATTGCCTTGTAATCAATCTCCAGAATTCCTTTCATTTTACAGAAGTGACATACATTAACCTACTACTTCTCATTCCCTCAGTGTATTTTTTGTAGGGGGACTGGGGGCCGGGGCAGATACAGGGGATTGAACCCAGGGATGCTTAACTACTGAGCTACAACCCTAGCCCTTTCTATTTTTCAGGGCCTTGCTCAATTGCTTAGGGCCTTGCCAAGTTGATAAGGCTGGCCTTGATCTTGCAATCTTCCTGCCTCGCGTCCTGAGTTATCGGGATTACAGGCATGCACCACCATGCCTGACTCAGTGTATTTTTTGTGTATTTGTTTTGTTTCTTCTGTTATAATAATTTTCTTTCTTTACTCAAATCATATTCAGTCTTGAAGGCCTAGAGTAAATCTCACATTTTAAATAAACTCTCCCTGACCACTGTAGCCATAGTGATCCCTACTCCAGTCTTTTGAATAATTAAGAACTTAAGTTTCTTTAGGTAGATTGTATACCTCTTAAAAGTGTGAGTGTGTTGGAATTTTTTTGTGTGATTTTATTTCTTCACTGATGTTTCTAGAATGCTTTTCCTCAAAAATCTCATTTATCTTTCATTTATAACTCAAATGCCATGATGTTAACACATCCCCCCTGGATTTTTTGTTGGACATCTTCCCTCAATTCATTGTAGTGCCATCTATGTTTATTTACATATCCATTCTGCTGCATGTCAGAGTCTGACTTATTTTTAAGTGCATAATGGTTTGTCTCCTCCATTAGAATTTGAACGTATTAAGGATAGTGATCATATAATATTCATTCTTATAGCCTCAGGACCCAGTACAGGGTATTGCACGTAGTATTTAATGAGGGAAAGGACATCATCTATTTTGTAAATTGCTATTTCCTTAGCTACCAGTGCCTGTAGGAACACTAAATAATTTGGGTTGAATTTTATATCTATTCTGTGTGTTCTGTTAAAGTGCAAAGTCTATGTTTGATTTTAATTTAAAAGAATATATATCACCTTGGGTAACTTGAGTCAGGGACTTGGTGTAGTAATTTAAATGTGTCTTTTTAAAAGGCAGCTTTTGAACCTAAATTGGAGTAAGATTAATCACTAGATTGGAAGGACCTTTAAATAAAGGAAACATAAGGGGCTGGGAATATAGCTCAGTTGGTAGAGTGCTTGCCCTGCATACACAGGACCTGGGATCAATCCCCAACACCACAAAAACAAACAAATGAGCAAAACGTACAAAGGAAACATAAGATTTTAAATTGTCATACATGATGTTGTCTTTAATTATTAAAGTTTTTTTCTACCTTTTTCATCTATAGATTTTTTAAAAAGTCATACTCATAAAACCTACTAATTTTAACACTATTTTCTTTTGATTAGGTGGATTTTATTTTGTTAGGTGGTGATCTTTTCCATGAAAATAAGCCCTCAAGAAAAACATTACATACATGCCTTGAATTATTAAGAAAATATTGTATGGGTGATCGTCCTGTACAGTTTGAAATCATTAGTGATCAATCAGTCAACTTTGGTTTTAGTAAGTAAGTATATTTATATGTTGAAGTTAGTGTTACCTATATATCTTTTCTGTAAATACACATAAACACATTAACAATTACAGCTATTTCACTTTCACTGTAAGTTATTTGCATACTAAATATAGTTCTTTGAATTTTCTGTACATCATTGTATGAATTTGTATTGCCCTAAATAATACTGGGACTGAACATCTTCTCAGATTTTTATATCTTCTTTGATATATTCTTCTGTTTATACCCTTTGTTTGTTTTAAAAACTGGGATTTGGCTGGGTGCAGTGGCAGCTCAGGAAGCTGAGTCAGTCAGATCAAGAGTTCAAAGCCAGCCTCAGCAACATGGAGGTGCTAAGCAACTCAGTGAGACACTATCTATAAATAAAATACAAAATTGGGGTGGGAATGTGGCTCAGTGGTTGAGTTCAATCCCTGGTACCTGTTCTCAAAAAACAAAACAAAACAAAAAACCAAAAAAAAAAAAAAAAAAACCCTCTTGAGTTAATGGAAAATAGGTAAAAATTTGGACATAGTTGACAGAAAAGGAAATAAAATGCCATATAAAAAATAAAGCTATACTGATTTTTTTTTTTAATCAGATGGGCATGGATCAGTGCTTCTCAGTCATTTGTGCATGTTACAGTTACCTAGAAATATTCAAAAATGCTGGTGCCCATGCCAAGGGTCATATATCTTTTGGAGTGTGTCATGGGCATAGGTACTTCCTAAAAGATCCCAAATGATTCTAACATGCAGCTAGGATTGAGAACCACTGGCATACAGATATATATATATATGTATATATTTTAAATATGTAATGCTTTATAAATTGGCGTGTTGTTCTTGTGCTGGGGTCATGTTAATCTTCTCAGTATTTTTAGAATTTTAGTATATGTGCTGCCAAAGTGAGCACTAGCATAAAGGTTTAAAAACTTGATAACATTGTATGTTGGTGAGGTTGGGGAAGTTTGTCTCTCTTGTGCTTGTCATCGTATCAGGTGTAATTCTGAACAGCCTTTATGGAGGGAAATTGGCAGTAGCTTGCAAATGCGTATATTCTTTGACCCAATAGTGTCTTTTAGGAATTTCCCTACAGATACACTCTCAACAGGGAAACTTTTCAAGATTATTAATTGTACCATTATTTATAAGACAAAAAACTAAAAAGGATCTAAATGTAAATTGATAGGGAATTGCTTAAATACAGTATCATCAGCCATATAATGAAATACATTGTGGCCACAAAAGCAGAAGTTTCTCATGAATAGTACTGCTGTGGAATGATTTTTAAAATATGTTAAATGAAATAAGTGAATATGTTACAATGAAAAGATGTTATAGAAATTGCTAACATTATTTGCCTCTGAGAAGAATAGGATGACTTGGGACAGCAGTGGACAGAAGATTAAATTGCACAGGTAGGAGGTGATAAAGCTAAGATCATTAATGTAGTTCTTTTGGATTCCAAACTATAGGTGTTTTCTCCCCTGTCTTAATGACAAATAAAAACTATACAGATGGGCTAATTTCACTTTGCATTATATTCTCCAGCTCCATCCATTTACCTGCAAATCCCATGGTTTTATTCTCTTTTAATGCTAAATAATATTCCATTGTGAATATATACCACATTTTCTTTATCCATTCATATACTGAAGGGCATCTAGTTTGGTTCCACAGTTTAGCTGTTGTGAATTAAGCTACTGTAAACATTGATGTGGCTGTGTCCCTATAGTATGCTGTTTAAGTCCTTTGAATATAGACTTAGGAGAGGGATAGCTGGGTCAAATGGTGGTCCATTCCCAATTTTTCAAGGATTCTCCTCACTGCTTTCCATATTGGCTGCACCAATTTGCAGTCCCCTCAGCAATGTATGAGTGTGCCTTTTCCCCCACATCCTCACCGATACTTATTATTGTTTGTCTTTATAATAGCTGCCATTCTGACTGGAGTGAGATGAAATCTTAGAGTAGTTTTGATTTGCATTTCTCTAATTGCTAGAGATGTTGAACATTTTTTCATATATTTGTTGATTGATTGTGTATCTTCTGAGAAGTATCTGTTCAGTTCCTTGGCCCATTTGTTGATTGGATTATTGGTTTTTTTGGGGTATTAAGGTTTTTGAGTTCTTTATGTATTCTAGAGATTCATGCTGTATCTGATGTGGGTTTGGTAAGAATTTGTTCCCAATTAGTAGGCTCTCTATTTACCTTACTGATTGTTTCTTTTGATGAGAAGGAAGATTTTTAGTTCAAATCCATCCCACTTATTGATTCTTGATATTAATTCTTGTGCTATAGGAATTTTATTAAGGAAGTTGTGAATTAAAACAGAATAAAATCATGACATTTGCAGGTAAATGGATGGAGCTGGAGAATATAATACTAAGTGAAATTAGCCAATCCCCAAAAAACCAAATGCTGAATGCTTTCTCTAATTTAAGGATAGTGATTCGTAATATGCTGGGGTGGAGATAGAAGGATTAAATGAACTCTAGATAGGACCAAGGGGAAAAGTTGAGTGAGGGGAAGGGAGGGGAAATAGGGGTAGGAAAGATGGTGAAATGCAGTGGTCATCATTACCCTAAGTACATTTAAGAAGACATGAAGGATGTTGACTATTTTGTGTACAACCAGAGATATGAAAAATTGTGCTTTATGTGTATAATATGAATTGTAATTCATTCTGTTGTTATAACAAATTAAAGTTAAAAAGCATAAAAACCCATATGGAAAGGTTTTTTAATTTTTTGAAGACTATTAATTTCCTATTAATCAACTTTATCACTCATACATTTCAGAAGCACCATTTAATGTTATTGGATTTTCATTAAAATGTAGTACTTTGTGAGATATTTTCAAGCTTTAGTTGAAATGAATTGTTATCTATGATTATATTTTCTGAAGTACTCTTAGTGGTCATCTGCCAATTTAAATTGTACAATGTGTCTATAATCGCATGAATTTTTAAAGTCTTGCAAAACAAATTTTGTCCCTTGTAGAAACTTTCAGTTTTCTTTTCTTTTTTTAAGATTTCCATGGGTGAACTACCAAGATGGCAATCTCAACATCTCAATTCCAGTGTTTAGTATTCATGGAAATCATGATGATCCTACAGGGGTAATTATTGTTTGTTGAAATTTTAAAAATGTTCAGTTTAGTTTATCTGTGGAAAGCAATCCTTTTCTTTTCCTCAGCAATTTGTAGTCAAATTTTCAGTCAAGAAGTCAAATTTGATTTGTTATCACTAATATAAGCATTTTTACTACTGTTTAGATAAAAAAAAAAATCTAGAATAAGAATTGGTATATCAGCTATGCTTTCATTTGATTAGAACTGAGTTTGGCAATGAGTAGCCAGGAGGAATAAACACTTAATATTTGTGTAGTGTTTTATAATTTACTTGTGCTTTTACATTTCTTGAGGATCTCACTTATAGGATATAATTATTTCACAAACATCTTTAAATCTAAATTAGAGTATTTCCTATTTGTCATGGAGGTAATACTAGAGGTCCTAAACTCAAAATATCTTTTTTTAAAATCTGGTCATAAATATTTTAAGTCACTTATTACCTATAGTCTTTTTCCCCAGATTTCAAGAGATATGCTTAAAATTATAAAACACTTGTTTTAGGTTGATTTTTACTTTTTAGTGGCCAAGACATCACGTAGTTGTAGTGAGATGCTTACTTGGCATTTAGTGTGTGAGTCCAGTTGCTGTAGATAACTTATAGTAGAAAAAAGGTAGTGGATACTTTTAATATTGGAATTTTGAGAAGACACTATCCTAACCTATGTTTTTGTAACTACAGGTTGGATATCCCTAATCTAAAAATAAAAACCCCAAATGCTCTAAAATATGAAACTTACTATTCAAAAAGTTTAGGACTTGGGATCATTTCTGATTTTGAATTTTCAGATTAGGAATACTCAGGTGGCAAAATCTATGGAAACTTTCTAAAATCCAAAAATCTCCCACAATCTGAAATACTTCTGATAAGGCAGGTAGTATGTGCAGTATGCTGGTTAAAGGTAGTGTGGTATTTATGCAGAGTGTTTGTTTGTACATACACATTAATATTCTTTGAAAATATTTTTCATAGGCAGATGCTCTTTGTGCCCTGGATATTTTAAGTTGTGCTGGATTTATAAATCACTTTGGACGTTCAATGTCTGTGGAGAAGTTGGACATTAGTCCAGTTTTGCTTCAAAAAGGAACCACAAAAATTGCTCTATATGGTTTAGGTAAGATGGTTTCATTTTACTGTTTATATCAATAAATAATTGTTTAGCCAATTGTGAAATGGAATTTTGGACATATCTTTGTGATCCTTTGCAAAAAAGTGTAACAGATCTCCTTATTACTTGTTGGTGGTTGTAAAAAAAATGTTGGAAGATTTTGTTAAAACTTTAATTTAATCGCATTAATACAAAATAGCAATTTTGGTTAAAATATAGTTCTCCTTTAGTATCTGTTTATTGTTTTGAGTTTTTTCTTTTAAACGTATATATAGAATCCTGTATGTTAGAATTACAGAATAATTAGCAAAACTTCATTTTAGTATCTGAGAAGTCTTTGAAAGATCTAAAGCATCACTGTTCAGTATGGTAGCCACTAGCCTCATGTAGACATTGGACACTTGAAATGTAAAGTACATACTAGTTTTCAAAGACTGTGGAAAAAAATGTAGAATATCTTTACTAACAGATAAGTTGAAATTAGTTTGTCTTTCTTTTTACTTGTTTTAATATGGCTACTATTAAATTTCAAATTATATATTTAGAAGACATTAGTGGCTAACATGTCTGTTGGACAGTGCTAATCTAAGAGTGTCATCTCTAAAGATCAAGCATTTGCTTTATCAACTTCACTATCTTTAATTCATCCAGTGTTCAGTAGACAGAAGCTTATTTGCTAGGCTTGATTCCATGTGAATGAAAGACCAAAGACTATTTTTAAAAGAATATATTGATTATTTTATGTATTTTATGTGTCAAGTATTTTTGAGACCAGAAATAAGTGTGCTTTAAGTCCATTTAGTATGTTCTCACATCTGCTTCTGCAAGTGATATAGCAGGAGGTTAAATACTTTTTTTAAAAAAGCAATTAGCAGTTTTAATTACTACAGTATTAGAGATCATATCTCCAGAAAACAGTTTCTTCTACTTTCAGACTGAAGACAGGTCCCATTATGCCTCTGGTACCATCAGAGACATGTCTCCTCAGTTAACCATTTTCTCCCAAAGCTCATCTTGTCCTGTTATGCCTTCTTTAACTGGACTTTGTGTCCATCCCAACCTTCTTCCTTTCACTATAAACTCTAGAATTCTTTAAAATGAACATATCCCAGCATTGCCTGTCTCTTTTGAATGTTGCCTCTACTTTCTGACCTTCTCTGAAGCCCAGCTGGGTGTCTGAGGGTTTTAGGTCTCCTGCAGTTCTCTTACTATGGTCTTTTGGGCAGAAATGGGGGATCATTCTTCTTGTTCCCCACCATTACTTTCTTTTAGACATTATGTTATTTTAAAATTATTTTCTTACTTTGGTTTAAAAAATGCTTTTCTTCTAAATTATGCATTTCTCAAAGTATTTCATTTTACTATTAGATATATTTAAATTCTGGAATAAGTTATGTCCAAATACCCTGCTTTTTTAAAGCTCATAACTTTTGACTAAATTGCCCTCTTTTTCCCTCAAACTCTTTTTTTGTTTTGTTTTTGTTTTGTACTGGGGATTGAACTCAGGAGCTCTTGACCACTGACTGACATCTGTATTTTATTTAGAGACAGAGTCTCGCCAAATTGCTTAGCAACTCACTATTGTTAAGGCTGGCTTTGAATTCATGATCCTCTTGTCTCAGCCTCCTGAGCTGCTGGGATTATAGACATGAGCCACTGTGTCCAGCTTCCCCTCAAACTTTTTACCTGCCTACCTATCATCAGATTTTGTCAGTGTTCTCAGTGCTTCAGCACCTGAGTAGATCAGCCTTCTAAATGCTCTGTGCATTGTATACCTTGACTTTTATCTCCAGTTATGTATATTCTATATTCTACCTCAGTTGTTATTCCAATGGCCATACCAAGGTATTTACTTTGGGAGCTGGGCTACTTCTTGCTCTTATACATTGTTGTATTGATGGTTTTTCTTCTGACATCCTCTGTAATCATTATATAAAATAGCAGCCTTGCCCCTCTTTCCCACCCGACACAGTTATTCTCCTTGTTATCATCCTGGCTTTCCTCCCTTTTTATAATATTTACAACTTGTTATTATTTTGTTTACTTATTTGTTTTTTGTTCTTCACTAGACCAAGGTGAGCCTGTGGTGTACATGAAATAACAAGAATTATTTGAAAAATATTGAATTATTAAAAAAGCATGATATTTTAATTTAAAATCACAATGTACATAGAAATACTGTGCTAAAATACATTTTTATCTTAACTTTTTAAATATCTGTGCATGTAATAATGTGTATCTTAGATCAAAAGTACATATGCCTATAATTTATAATACAGGAGGGGGTGAAAAACAGTATTACTAAAGATTTTAATAAGAATTTAAGCATAAGAAACTTCCTTTTTTAGTTCACATTTCTCTGATTTTGAGGGTACACAGCCCTGAAATGAAACATGTTCTTTGAATGTATCTAACTGCTGTCATGTAAGAACCTGAAACATAACTTTTGTACATGATATCACTTATAACTTATTCCAGAATTTAAATATATCTCTAATAGTAAAATGAAATACTTTGAGAAATGCATAATTTAGAAGAAAAGCATTTCTTTTTTTAAACCAAAGTAAGAAAATAATTTTAAGATATCTAATGTCTATTTCAGGGTCCATTCCAGATGAAAGGCTTTATCGAATGTTTGTCAATAAAAAAGTAACGATGTTGAGACCAAAAGAAGATGAGAACTCTTGGTTTAATTTATTTGTGATTCATCAAAACAGGTAAAAGAATTCTCTGAAAAATGTTGGGCCAAGTATTGAGGTTCCCCAAATCTGTTTCCAAGCTCACGTACTTTAGTGAATAATGCCCTTATTCTTTCAAAGTGTCAGGCAGAATCAGGGAAACTTGGACTTGCTGCACATGGCTTATTGTGAAATTGTTTTTAATGTATATTAATTTCTATAAAAGGATATTTTTAGCATATGGATGAGGCATAAGAATAACTATAAAATTAATTCAGCAAAAAGTAGAATCTTACCAGTACATTTTCCCATTCTCTTTTCATGATCTCATGTGCTTCCACATAGTCTAGGGGAAGCATTATTTTCAGCTTTGAATTAATATCCAGTGCTTTTATTTATTTTTAATCACATGTATAACCATAATTGCTATTTTATTTATTTTTAGTATAACTGGAATGATGCTGTATATTTTACAAACAACTTATGTTTAATATTGCATTATTGAGTTTCATTCATTTTGTTGCTTAGATTTGTAACTCATTTTTATTGTTTATGTACAGTTATTTTTTCTTCTGTCAGTGTACATTTTTATTTCCAATTATTTTGCTTTTGGGGGGATTGTATTCAGGGACACTTGACCACTGAGCCACATCCCCACCCCTATTTTGTATTTTATTTAGAGACAGGGTCTCACTGAGTTACTTAGTGCCTCACTTTTGCTGAAGCTGGCTTTGAACTTGAGATCTTTCTGCCTCAGCCTCCGAAGCTGCTGGGATTATAGGCATGTGCCTCTGTGCCTGGCATTTTTTTTTTTTTTTTCTTTTTAAAACCTTGCTGTTACAAACATTTCTTATACATGTTTTCTGGTACATATATGTAAAAGTGTCTTTCCAGAATATGTAAATATAGCTGGGTCAGTTTTCTTTTGCCAATGGTTGAAACATGTTTAATCTGTTGGTAGGGTACAGAATTGATTTTCAGGAAGAGAGACTTGAAGAAGCAAGATTTATTATATGATTATCATAGTAGGAAATGTGAGATGGCAACAGTGATGACAGTGAAACTGAAACAGAAGAGAGAGACCTGGGATATTGTCAAGGAAGAATCCAAGGGTTTTAGGGCCTGTTATTTAATTTACTTATTGAACATGTTTATTGAATGCAGATTACTCTGCACTAGTGAATGCAGGCTTTTTCTAAGTGCTGGGTCAAAGAAGGACACAGATTTGCACTATTTTATATACTTTCTCAGATAAACAGTATGAGCTTCAAAGGAAAAGCCAGCCAGAGTTTTGTTTTGTGTGGTTGCCATGAAACTTTATACCATTGGGGAGGTGTTTCTTCTCTTGTGGAGCCTTCCTGGTTCTGCCACACTTTGTACTATGCCAAAGTAGAGAAAAGTTGGAAGGAAAACTCATTAAAGTGATCCACATTTAAGCCAGCGTGAAAGATAGAAGACAACATTGATCAGAGAACAAGTAGTCAACATGATGTTGATGTGTCTCATTGCTGGTGATACTCGCCATCCTTTGATTAAGGGGTATAGTTCAGATTTCTCCACTATAAAGATCCTATTTTCTACTTTGTAATTAATGAACATTTTGGGGAAAATACTTGGAGACTATCTAAACATACTTTTTCACCTTAAAAATTTCCCACTAATCTTAGCATCCACTGGGATCATCTTTATAGCAATTAATAGTGTGGTATTATAATTGTGATGTTTTTAAAATATTTTTATTCTTTCTGTATTTAGTAATTTCTTTATAAGGAAGATTTTTTTTTTCTTATTCCTGTCCCCCATTATTTACTTATTCATTTATACATGTCATAATGGGCTTAAGGATCATTTGTTTTACTCTTTGAGTAACAATCCAATGGATTAATCCTGCTGTGACCATTGGAGGCTCTTTTATGTTGGCTTCTGTATTATTTCACTTAGCCCTTTCATTTTCTTTTTTTAATATTTTTTAGTTATAAATAGACACAATAACTTTATTTATTTATCTTAATGTGGTGATGAGGATTGAACCTAGTGCTAGGTGAGTGCTCTACCACTGAGCCACAACCCCAGCCCCTCTTTCTTTCTTTTTTTGTGCATAACCTTAGCTTTTTTGCACCTCAAGATGCTGTAGTCTCTGCCAACCACTGTGGTGCACACCTGTAATCTCAGCAGCTTGGGAGGCTGAGGTAGAAGGATCTCGAACTCAAAACCAATGTGAGCAACAGCGAAATGCTAAGCAAACTCAGTGAGACCCTGTCTTTAAATAAAATACAAATAGGGCTGGGAATATGGCTCAGTGGTTGAGTACCTCCAAATTCAATCCCTGTTACCCCCTCTCCAAAAAAGATATTGTAGTCTCACCTTGTATTTTCCTCCCTTAGCCTTGGAATCAGCCACTTCTCCAAGGAGCTCTGATTCCTTTTATTGGAAAGTAATATTTAGAAACCTACACGTACCTATGTGTCTGGGTGTGCTTGTTGCTCCTGTGGCTCTCTCAGCTCTCTGAACAAACAGAGTGAAGGAAATAAAGATTTTTATATGTATAGCAATGCATGTATGTATTCACACCTATATTTCTATTTCTAGCTATGTATGTGTTTAGAAACACAATTATAAATTCAGGCTGATTCTAATCCAGACTTACAAGGTTCATTTTTTGTCTTCTCCCTTGCCTTATTTGTAACTTTTTTCTCTAACAGAAATCTGGATTGTATCATCTATAATGTATTTACCTGTTTTTTTGATCCAGGTTTATATGTAAGGTAATTTCATAATTGCTAAACCGTAACCCTGTGAGAAACAAATTTGTCAACTAAGGTACAATATTTGTATATTTTTGTCTACAACTTTACTACATTCAGTCAAAACAACATTTTCCAAAGTTACTTACTTCCTCTTTCTCACCCTCTTCATTGTGATTTTGTGATTTGTTTTTAAATACTCTTAGATTAATTGCCCAGCCTTAGCATTCTTAGATACTTCTGTTGTTATTGTTTCCTTAAGTTGTTAAAAAACAAAAGATTTTCTCAGATTAGGTGAGAATTCTTGAATCTTCTATGATGTGCTGCTTTTATTTGTTGTTTTTTTTTCCTATATTCACCATTTTTTTTTCTTTTGCTGGGAAAGAAGGAGTGATCTGAAGCTGAGGAGGGCTTTGTCATGCAAAATCTTTCAACTAGGATGTTTTGATCCATCCCTAGGTCACAAATCAGAGTCAGCCTACTTGAATAATCTTCCTTCTTTATTCCAGGAAAGAGCCATTGCTCCATGAAGGCACAGTGTATTTGAGAATTACCTTCTTTTTCTAAGTAATTGTCATGATCTCATACCTTAGATTTTTTTTTTTTTAAGTGAGATTTGAACCCAGGAGGGCTTTACCACTGAGCTACATCCCCAGTCCTTTTTATTTTTTGAGACAGGATCTTGCTACTTTGCTTAGGGTCACTAAATTGCAGAGGCTGACCTTGAATTTGTGATCTTCCTGCTTCAGCCTCCAGTCACTAGGATTACAGGTCTGTTCCATCACACCCAGCAAATGTTTAATTTTTACATGAAAACATTCCAAAATACTTAAGCCTGCTGCTTCCCTGATTTCATTTCCTGTCTTCCTTGTGTTATACCTTTCACCTACATGAATCTCCATGCTGTTTTTTGAACTCATGGAACACATTCCTACTTCAGCACCTTTACCATCTGCTCTTCCTCCGCATACCGATCCCTCATCTCAATTCTCTGCTCATTTTTACTCCTCAGAGAGCTATTTCCTGACTACCCTGTGTATGTAGAGTAGCATCCTTCCCTATCACTTTTCCTTTTATTTTTTCTTATAATAAGCACCAATCACTGCTTGACAAGTTTTATTTTTATACACATATACTTAGGTATTACTGCTTGTTTCCCCCATAAGAGCAAGGATTTTGTTTACTGCTGTGTTAACTGCCTGAGGCATTTGACACATTTTAGACCTGAGTAAATATTTGTTGGTTAAGTGAATAAATATTGGTTTTGATCAAATGAATGCTAGGTTGAAATATTTGAGCATTTTCACTTAAATACCCAATGGTGTAATTTAATGTTGGAAAAAACCTTTTCTTTCTGTTTTCTCTTACTGGGTAATAACTTTTCTAAGTATAAAACTATGGTTTGCAAAGCACTTATTCATATAATATTTTATTTAATATTGAAAAACTCTTATTTCTTGTTGACAGTTTATCTCATGATTTTTATAATCCATAAAAGAAACAGATATGTTAAAAAATGATTGGTCAGCTGGTGGTGCATGCCTGTAGCCCGGTCAACCTTGGAGGCTGAGGCAGGAGGACCTCAGGTTTGAGGTAAAGGACCCCTGGGTTCAATTCCCAGTCCCCACCTCCAAAAAGAAAAAAAGGTTTGGACACATTTAGAAATTTGTTTTTATACTACAAAATTAAGATTTATTTTATTTTCTACCTTCTTTTTTTGGGGGGTGGTGCATATAATAAGATCAGTTTGTGGATTTTTTTGGTGGGGGGCATGGAGGATTGAACTCAGGGGCACTTGGTTGCTGAGCCACATCCCCAATCCTGTTTTGTTTTTGTTTTATTTTTATTTTTTAATTTATATATGACAGCAGAATGCATTATAATTCTTATTACACATATAGAACACAATTTTTCATATCTCTGTATACATAGAATATTCACACCAGTTCATATCTTCATATCTGTACTTTGGATAATAATGATCATCACATTCCACCATCATTGATAACCGTGTGTTCCCTCCCTTCCCCTCTCACCCTTCTTCCCTATCTAGAGTTTATCTATTCCTCTCATGCTCCCGCTCCCTATCCCACTATGAATCAGCCTCCTTATATCAGAGAAAACATTCGGCATTTATTTTTTTGGGATTGGCTAACTTCATTTAGCATTATCTTCTCTAACTCCATCCATTTACCTGCAAATGCCATAGTTTTATTCTTTTTTATTAATTAGTAATATTTCATTGTGTATATATGCCACATATTTTTTATCCATTCATTTATTGAAAGGCATCTAGTTTGGTTCCATAGTTTAGCTGTTGTGAATTGTGTTGCTATAAACTTGATGTTGCTATGTCCCTGTAGTATGTTGTTTTTAAGTCCTTTGGGTATAGACCTAGGAGAGAGATAGCTGGGTCAAATGGTGGTTCCATTCCCAATTTTCCAAGAAATCTCCATACTGCTTTCCATATTGGCTGCACCAATTTGCAGTATCAACAGCAGTGTTTGATACCCCCCACCCATCCTGTTTAGAAACAGGGTCTCACTGAGTGAGTTGCTTAGTGCCTTGCTTTTTGCTGAAGCTGGCTTTGAACTCAAAATCCTCCTGCCTCAGCCTCCTGAACTGCTGGGATTACATATGTGTGTGTGCCACCAAGCCCAGCTTAGTTTGTGGATTTTTCTTATTGTCAGTGCTCATGCTTTCCTGACTTGACCAAAGCTGGGGAACCTTTCTCTGTAAAGCCTTTTGTGACTCCTTGAATGTAGAGTTGACCACCTTCTCTTGACATCCTATTTGACTGTGCTCTGCTAGTCTGTCACTACCTAAAAGTAAAAAACTAGATATTGATCATCTTTGTATTCCCAATCTCATGGTAAGTTTTTGGCACAAAGAATGATATAATATATCATAAGTGAATAGAGAAAAATCTGTATAGACTTAGTTAATATGGAATTATTCTATATTGCTATGAATTTATATTATTTATTTTTAAAAAATCTTGATATAGGAGTAAACATGGAAGTACAAACTTCATTCCAGAACAGTTTTTGGATGACTTCATTGATCTTGTTATTTGGGGCCATGAACATGAGTGTAAAATAGCTCCGACCAAAAATGAGCAGCAGCTCTTTTATGTATCACAACCTGGAAGCTCAGTGGTTACTTCTCTTTCCCCAGGAGAAGCTGTGAAGAAGTGAGTCATTGTTACATGTTTCAAATCAATTTTAAAGAAATCCTTGTTGTAATGATCTCCTAATTATCCCATGGGTTCAAGGTCCTGGCAATATATGAAAGATTTATTTGTGAAGGTTGGTTATTCTATGTGGTTTTACTGTTTTCCCAGATTTTAAGCCATCTTCAACAAGGAAACATCCATTTGATGTTGATTTTGCCATTCATTAGGCAAATTCAAACCTAACATTTTTATTAAGTTTTAAATATGACTCTATGTTGATGGCTGCTAATTTCATAAAATTTGTTTATAAACAAAATCCCATAAAATCACTTAATTGTGATTTTTCTAGTTACAAATGCAATAAGATAATATATTTAATCTCTTTTTGACAGAGTGATGTGATTTTAAAAAGTAGTTAACAGTGACTAAACTCCATTTTTAAGGGATTTTACCCTAGGGATCTATTGACATTCAGATTGTTATAAGAAGAGGCTTATAGGACGTATGTTTGTTTGTTTTTTTCCCCTTTGTAGTTCTGCTGTAAATTAGTTTTATTATTGTCCTGATAAAATTTTATTATAATTAGGTCTATCTTCCCTTATAAGACTGTAATTTGTTTAGACAGGAAAAACAATGAATGAGTGAATTTTATTCTGAGAAAGAAGGTTTACCATTTTTTTCCTGTGAAAATGACATTAAGATTAAACTGAGAAAAACATTTATTTTTAAGGATATAATTTTGTAAGGAAATATTTTATAGAAAGTTAGAAATTAATTTTCTGGGGAAATAAATGTTGTAGTTAAGCTTCCAGTTTTCTCCCTTTTCAGACACGTTGGTTTGCTTCGTGTTAAAGGGAGGAAGATGAATATGCAGAAGATCCCTCTTGGTACCGTGCGACAGTTTTTTATGGAGGATGTTGTTCTGGCTAATCATACAGATATTTTTAACCCAGATAATCCTAAAGTAACCCAAGCCATACAAAACTTCTGTTTGGAGAAGGTAATTCTTTTAGATAAAGTCAATGAGATATACATTGGTTGAGAAATTATTTACCTTCAATAAAGTAATTCAGTAGAGGGAAGCCTTTGTATTTATTATATTCTCATGAAGCTGATAAGACTTTAATTAAACCTTTGTCTCTGTTTCTTTCCTTCTTTTAAAAAAAGTACTTATAATCTTTTTCTTCTTTTTAATCCTGACTTGATAATTGGCTTGTCTCACTTAAGACAGTGGGCAGTGACTCTGATTGGCAGTGGGAGGATATTGTGGTATGTAGCTTCTCTAGTAATCTCCATTTGGCATACCTTTCACCCTGATATCTGCCCCACAGAAAATCTTAAAATGTGTTTGCTTTATACTCTACAGCTTCAGAATAAGCCTCATCTTCCCTTTCTGCAGGGGTTTATGACTTGCCACTCATAAACCCCTGCAGAAAATTGAACCCCTACTAAACTAAAGTTGGGTGAATGCTTTTAATAATATGTAGGTTGACAACAACATTAATTGCTGACATTCAGTTCTTTGTGCCAGCTTTTCTATTTCACATTTTATTCTTTTAAAAATCATTTAGGGTAATAATGACAATAATAATAATTATGAACACTAATATTTACTGACTGCCTCTATATGCTGTGCACTCTGGACAGCATTTTGCATTAAATCCATCTAACAATGTTCTAGGCAGTTAGGGTCTACCTTTTTTTTATTTTCTTGCAGTTTCTGGGATCAGACCTAGGACCTCCTGCCTGGTAGGCAAGCACTGTCATTGATCTGTACCTCCAGCCCTACTATTCACAATCTATGTACAATGAGCTAAACCTTAGATAAAGTAATTTGTCCAGTGTCAGAGCTATTTGAGCAATGTATAGCTTATATAACTAAAAAGTTTTAAGAGTATATTGGTGTCAAGGAGATTGATTCCAGAAATTTAAACTTAAAGTTGTGGGTTTCTCTCTGTTTTTATGGCCTCTGCTACCACTCACACTTATGGTTTCTATGCTAAACTTCACTTTATGGAAGACATTCTCACATGCTGGCCCACAGACTTCTGTTATCATTATAGCTGGAAGAATTATTTTTTCCAGTAGTTCCAAATAAACCCTGAACATTGAATTTTACTGTCATGGGGTAAGCACAATTCCTGAATCAGGGGGATGAAAAATACATGGATTGATCTTGAGTTAATTATATTCCTTGCCTCAACCCTGGCTCAAATAACATTTTAGATTATATGTTTCTTTGTTGTGGGAAGCTATTCTGTACATTATAGTATGTTTAGCAGTATTCTCCTTGGCCTTAGTAGACGCCAGTAGCTCCTTTTTCCCCCAGACATGAATTGTTTCCAGATTTTGACAATGTCCCTGATTGAGATCCGTGGACTTGGAGTGGTCACAGGACCAGCAAAAGTAAAAAGGATCCGCTTTAAACACCTGGGTGTACACATAACCTTGTTACATTTGTATGCTATTATGTTTCTTTTTTTGTACTTAATTATATCATTGTTTATATGCATGTGAGGACAAGGCCCATCTTTTAACTTTTCCATCTTAGCACATGTCCAAATACTTGGCTATAGGTCCTCTATAAATGCTCATTGAATTGAAATAATTTATCTAGATCATACCCTTATAGCTCTGTGTTTTCAGGATGGTAGTTAGTAGCACATGTAACTATTTAAATATAATTAATTAAAATTAAATTAAAAATTCACTTCTTCATTGTACCAAGTACATTCCAGGCGCTCTCTCTGTATATGTGTGGTTTATGGCAACCATACTGAATACTACGCATGTAAAACCTCATCATTGAAAGTTATTTGGGGGCTGCATTGTTACAGATAATTTGAAGGACAGATTATAATATTTTAGGACTAGAAGAGATTTAAGGACAAAAATACTTGTTCTATTATTATTCCTGAGGAGGGAACCAAGTTACAAGGAGGTACTATAGGAATCATTTTCAAAAAGGTTGTGTTCATGGTGATTGGGTAACTTCCAGAGGACTTCAGCTGTTAGAAAGTTACTGTATTAAAATTCGTCTACTTATATCTCAGTTCTGACCTTAGAACAATTTAGGACAAGGATTATACCATGAGATAGCTTCAGATATTTGAAATATTTTTCTTATTTTAGCTTGAACTTTTTCAAAGTAAATAATCCAAGAGCCTTTGGTTATAGAATCCTACATATTCTGCCTGATCTGACTGAAAAATCTAGGTTTATTTGCTTTTAAGTTAATAAAATGAGGGCTAAGTCATATCAAAACATGAATAGAAAGTTGGAGCAGAAGCAGTATTTTAAACTTTCTTATAAAAGAATACAGAGATTGAAAAATTATTAAGAACTTTCACAAAGGAAAACATTAATCAGTGAGAGCATTACTAGAAGTTATATTTTAAAAGGTGTTATAAATAACTTAGGAAATGAAGATGACTATGTAATGCAGGAAAGTTCCTGTTGTAGGAATATGAACTATTATTCAACTGATTTAAACTAAATGTACTTTGTTTTATTTAATTTTTATTTTGAGATTGAAGAAATGCTTGAAAATGCTGAACGGGAACGTCTGGGAAATTCTCGACAGCCAGAGAAGCCTCTTATACGACTTCGAGTAAGTCTTATTTACATGATTAAGCTTTATTTTTCAAATTCTAGTAATGTACAGTTTTTGTGGTCCTTAAGCCACATTACTTGGTATTGGCATCAACTAGGAAATTATTGAAAAAATGCAGAATCTTAGGCCTCATGTCAGACCCATTGCCTTGTACTTGTAGTAAAATCCCCAAGAGATTTGTCTGCACATTAAGATTTGAGGGGTCTTGGGATGTAGGATGCAGGGGTAAAGATTACAGTTTAAAGCTAGACTGTTTGGTTTGATTCTGGCCCTTTCACTAGTTGTATGACTTCACACAACTGGATCTTTTGTTTGTTGATTTGTATTTCATAAGTTTTTGAGATCCAAATGAATTATATAGCGAGTGGTGTACAAAAAGTAATCTGGTCCCCTTTCTCTCTCCCACTCTTTGCTGTAGTTGAGCCCTTGTTATCACTTATAGGCCTGCTGCTGCAACATCCTACCTGAACTCAACTTCCACTTCCCTTTTCACTCTGCCAACTAGCCTTTTCTCCACACTAATGCCAAGAGGATCTTCGTAAAACACAATCTTGCATGGCTTTTCTTCTGGACACAGTTTAATATAATTTCCTAGCACTAACAGAAACAAGTCAAAACTTTTGAGGGGGTAGCACTAGGGTGTTTATAGAACCTGGTCTAAACCAACCTCTTAGGATTTTTCCTCCTAAGCATGTTCTTAAGCTCCAGTCATTTTGGACTAAAATAACTGGTCCTGTGCCTGGTGAAGTTCACTTGAACCTTTTGGCTGTGCCAATCCTGTGTAGAATGCACTTCCTTGCTCCTGGCTTTTTGTCTCCTTCAGCAACCATGCCTGTCTCCCCACAGAAACCTTTCTGGGTCTCCCCTCCAATTTGAAGTTTCTTCCTTCGTGTCCTCACTCTACTTTGTTCATATCTCTTATAGTACAATTTACATTCTGCATGCAACTATTTATATTTGTCTTCCCAGTCAGTGTGTAAATTTCTTGACAACCAAGATTGTGTTTTGTTCATGGTTGTGTCCCTAACCCTTAACAGAGTACTCTGTACTAGAACATTGAAGACACCCAGTAAAGTTTGTTTAGTGAACAAGTTTTGTAATTTTTATGAGCAGAAAATTAAAAATAAATCTAGGCTGGAGTATGTCTAAGGAGTTTGGGGGATACCCAGTTGCCTCTGCATTTAGTACTTTTAGAACATGGCAGCAGAAGAGATGATCTGGGTTATACAAAGAAGGTTACTTTAAATGAACGACATAGTTCTCTTCATCAGGACAAAAGATACCATGTTTCTCATTTATGTCTGTCTGATAACTTTAGAACCAACCATTTAAATAGCAAATTGGCATTCTTTTTCTAAACACAGTAAATTATTCATTCATGAAACAAAGGATCAGATATTATTGTGTAAGTCGTATGACAAAATACGTTGTACCCATTAGAGGGTCCTTATTAATTCATTGCACAAATCTCAGAGTACCTGTGTTATGGATGTTGGAGGACACGCGACTTGCATGGCTGTTAATTCAGAAAAACTGGTGAGGGGTGATGGGAGCTTAGAAAAGACAAACAGACACACATAGAGAGCTGCAACCAGGTTGTCATTACCCTCTAATGGAGGTATAACAATACAGAGCTAGCTCAACATATTTATTAAATAGGTTTTAACATCAAAAGGATTTTCTGTGAGAAAGTTTCTTAAAAGCAAGCAAGAAAAGACCACTGACTCCAATTAAAATCAAATTAAAACAAGCTTATTATTATTTCGACTGGCCGGGCTGCCTTTCCCATCAAAATCGTGGGAGCCAAGGACAGCCGCAAAGCTTCCTTGCAGCCCAGTTTTATAGCCCAAAAAGTTACACAAAGGGGGGTTACAGATAACAAAACTCTGAGGAGCATAACACAAGTTTACATTTTTGCTGGCCTTGACATCAGAATTTATGTAGGTCGTTAGAGCCTCTGAGAGGGTCCTTATCTGGCTAGGGAAGGCCAGAATTTATGAGGCATCACTAAGGTTTAGGAAAGGGTTGTTATCTGGTCAGGGAAAACCGGGCATGGGTGAGTTCAAGGGACGGGCAGGCATTCCAAGCAGCTTTACAACATCAACTAATGGCCAGGCTATACAGACATCCTAATATTTTTACAGAAAACAGAAATGAATCCTTCATAACTTGTGACAAGCTGGTTTCTGATCTAAAGAGAGAATTAGGCTTAGGTATATCAGGTATCCAGTTATAATTATCTTTTTTGCACTCATAATCCTCTGTCCCCCATAGCTGGTGTCTGAATTTAGGGTCAAGACTTATAATGCCATGCCATGCACAGAACCTCCTTGGGGCGGGGCGTGTCACCATAGCAACTGGGCAGTCTTAACCTGTAGCCTTTGCACAAGAAGTTCCCAGCACAGTTGTGCTCCTGCCACAGGACAATAAGAGACTGTGATTCAAATCACTTCTCCTGACAAGGACACAGTGATTTTTGTTGTTGTTGTTTTGTTTTTTTGTTTAAGTGATACTGGTGATTGAATGTAGGGATACTCACCAACCTACACCTCCAGCTATTTTTATTTTTTCAGAGTCTGGCTAAGTTACCAAGATAGGCCTGGAACATGAAATCCTTGCCTCTGACTCCTGACTTGCTAGGGTGGCAGGTGTGCACCACTACACCTGGCCGAAGAGATGGTTTGAAGAAGATGTGGCTTTGAACTTGAGCTTATAGGAGGTAGAGGAATGAAAGGAGACATAGTAAATATCAAATAAATGAACATAATGAATAAAAAGATGGTGCCAATTGTGATGAAGAGTGTGGGTGGGGTCATGATCAGGTCAGGAGTATTCTGGTTAGGCTGTGTGATGCTGGTCCCAGAGCATGTGCTGAGAATAGCTAATTTAGTGAGTGTATCTCCTCAGGGGAAAGCCGTGTTTCTCTTTGTAAAGGACTATTTACCATTGTAGACTTCTCCAGAATAGTCTTCCTTGAGAGTTATTAGTTCCATTGAACTAACCATCTTTTGAAGGTAATCATTTCCCAATGCTTATAGACTTATTCTTTTCTACTTGGATTTCCCCAGTATTTGTCTATGCCCAGTTTGAAGATATACATATCCCTGAGATGATAGACCAAGGAACTAATGCCCTAGGGCTGGTGTTTTGTTGTATTAGAGGTCTTTTTTGTTTGAAAGTTTAGAAATTTGTTTGGAAATTCCATCTCCTTTTCAGATAGTACTCCTAGTGGGTACCTAAACTTTGTTGTCATTGGAGATGTAATAATTCCAACATTGTGGAAATCTTTGCTGTAACCTGGATCCATCAAAATATTTTGCTTTTTTTAGTGGAGATTGAACCCAGGGGTATTTAACTGCTGAGCCATATCCCTAGCATTCCCTTTCTTAAACTTTTTATTTTGAGATGGGATCTTGCTAAGTTGTTTAAGTATTAGTTGCTAATACTGGCTTTGAACTTAGAATCTTCCTGCTTCAGCCACCTGAGCCATTGGGATTACTGGTGTACACCACTGTGCCCAAACTATTTTGCTTTTAAGTTTATGAACCTTCCAAGCATTATTTTCTCAATTGAATAAATGGTATAATACCAATGTGATCTTTAAAATATATTATAGAAAAGTAATTTTTACAAATTTAAAAGTATAGATAAGTAAATATAAAAATGCCAAATATAAATACTGAAGAATGAGTGTGTTTCTCAAAAATTGGCAAATTGTTTCCTGGCTTTCATATGTTATTCTGTATTTCAGGTGGACTATAGTGGAGGTTTTGAACCTTTCAATGTTCTTCGCTTTAGCCAGAAATTTGTGGATCGAGTAGCTAATCCAAAAGATGTTATCCATTTTTTCAGGCATAGAGAACAAAAAGAAAAAACAGGTAAGCTAGTTATTTTTATAAATTAAAGAATGCTGGGGCTGGGGATGTGGCTCAAGCGGTAGCGCGCTCGCCTGGCATGCGTGCGGCCCGGGTTCGATCCTCAGCACCACATACCAACAAAGATGTTGTGTCTGCCGAGAATTAAAAAATAAAATATTAAAAATTCTCTCTCTCTCTCTCTCTCCTCTCTCACTCTATCTTTAAAAAAATAAATAAATAAAAAATAAATAAACTAAAGAATGCTATTGTAAGACTTTTATAAATCTGTCTTTGACAAAAGAAAATAAAATAGTTATGGAAGATGTTTTAGTTTATTGTAATATCTTAGACAAAAAAAAGTTGGTTGGAATAATTAAATCTTTTTCTTCTACAAATTAGTTGTTATTTTTTAAACCTGTGGATTATGAAGAAATGGAAGACTGTCTTTGTAAATATAGTTTTTCTAAACAGTATTGCTGAGTAATAACATATTTAGACTTTAGATGTTATTGTTCAAAATAAATTCTGATAAAGGTGTATTAAGGATTGTAATGCAGGGCTGGGGATGTGGCTCAAGCAGTAGCATGCGCGCCTGCCATGTGTGTGGCCCGGGTTTGATCCTCAGCACCACATACAAACAAAGATGTTGTGTCCGCCAAGAACTAAAAAATAAAAAATAAATATTTAAAAATTCTCTCTCTTTCTCTTTAAAAAAAAAGAATTGTAATGCAAAAACAAAAACAAAGCACAAAATAAATATCTGCTACTTTCTATGCAGTATTAATGTCCAGATAATACATTGGCAAATTATGCATTATTAAGTATTTTGACACTGGTGTGTACAGTGGATCAGGAAGTTATCAGGCTTTTTGAAAATAAGAAGTATCCTGTAATTTGGTATTTTCTGATAATGTAGGTAATTAATTTCTAATTAAATTTTATAAAATCTAATTGCCCTTTTAACATTTATAAAGCTAAGTCATTGGTTGAAATAATGCTTTTTCATAAAAAGTATTGATCATGTTAAATGTATAGACTCTTCTCTTCAGAGCTATTGAATAAGAGAATTTTCATGGAAACATGTACCTGTTTAAAAGTTACTGGTTGTTTTTTTTTTTTTTTTTTAATTTTTTTGGTGGTGCTGGGGATTGAACCCAGGGCCTTGTGCATGTGAGGCAAGCACTCTACCAACTGAGCTATATCCCTAGCCCTACTCTGATTTTCATTAGCTCAGATTTAATGGGTTTCTATTTTCACAGTCAGCTCATTTCTACTATTTTATAGGAAAGAAATCCAAACCAGAGAATCATATTTTTATACTAAGAAATTAAATTAATTGCTTAGTTTTTTTTGTTTGACTTTCATTTTATATATTTATTTATTACTTATTTGTATGCAGTGCTGAGAATCAAACCCAGTACCTCACACATGCTAGGCAAGCACTCTACCATGAGCCACAACTCCCTGATTTAATTGCTTCTTGATAATTATTTACTTTAATTGTGCATCCTTATCAATTCCTTGAAAGATCATGAGTATAGCATTCATAAGAAAACAGAATTATAACAGTACCTTATTTAGTTGAGTTTTGTCTCTGGTGAGTTGTATTCTTTTGATTTTCCTTTTTGTTTATACTTAAATTGCTTATAAATTGTTTATACTTTAATTGCTTATAAAAACCTAGTGGTTTTACCCATGATTGCCTTTGTGTATCAGTGCAATGTATTATCTGGACATTAATACTGCATAGAAAGTAGCAGATATTTATTTTGTGCTTTGTTTTTGTTTTTGCATTACAATTCTTTTTTTTTAAAGAGAAAGAGAGAGAATTTTTAAATATTTATTTTTTATTTTTTAAATACAGTGAAAAAGGCAATGTCTTAAGTATTATATTATCATGAAACTTGTTTTGACTTTATGCATTTCCTGAAAGGGTCTTGGGGACCTCCCAACATCTGGGAACCATTTCGTGAGAACAGCTATAAGAGACCTACTCCTTGGAGATATGGAAAGGAAATACCAACTGTGGGAAAAGACTGTAGCTATTAGCAAAAGTGGCTGGAGTATCTTGAAATGTACCATATTGGGCAAGCTGGCAGTTGATAAGAGTTAGGCCTTACCTCCTCACTGACAGCAACCTGCAGTGAGTTTAGCCACTTTAACATATTAGTAGAAGTTGCTATTTTTTGATGGACTTATTTTTCTAGGAGAAGAGATCAACTTTGGGAAGCTTATCACAAAACCTTCAGAAGGAACAACTCTCAGGGTAGAAGACCTTGTCAAACAGTATTTTCAGACTGCAGAGAAGGTAATTTCTTATAGTTTACATTTTGAATAATAACTATTTTATAATAACAGATTTTAATACATATAATTGATAGTTAAACAAAATGAATCCTCACTGTGCTGCCATGAGTAAGTAGAGTGACATTTAGTTACATTCATTTGTAGTTACTGTATATCAAGAAAAACTAATGCTTAGTTCATGGTTATTAATATCATTGTTTTTTTTTTTTTTCCTTTTTTGGGGGGTTTTTGTATTTTATTTAGAGACAGGGTCTCATTGAGTTGCCTAATGCCTCACTTTGCTAAGGCTGTCTTTGAACTAGTGATCCTCCTGCTCAGCCTCCCAGGCCACTGGGATTACAGGCATGCGCCCAGCTTAATATCATTATTAATGTGATATTTTTAATGTGTGTTTTTATTGTATTATTGTTTTTATCCTCTTTCTTTTTTTGTCTCTATTGCAAAAGTCAGTCCAGGATTTGATTTTCTCTTAATTTGGATGTAATTTCAGAATTACTTTACAAATACAGCCACATGATGGTGAAGCTATTATTAAATTTAACCATTTGAGTAAATTATACCACTCTAAGAGTCTCTGGTTTTATAAAAATAACAGTTTTGTTATGTGATCTGAGATCTGTTAGTCAGAAATCTGACACAGATCTCAAAAATCCGGGTGTCAGCAGGGCTGTGTTACTTTTTGGAAGCTCTATGGAAGAATCTTTTATTTTTTCCAATTTCTAGAGGTGTCTGTGTTTCTTGCTCTTGGTCCCCTTCATCCATCTTCAAAGGCAGCAATGTTGTATCTCTGGCTATTTTCCCACAATTATATTTCCTTCTGACCCCCTCTTTCTGCCTCCTCCTTCCCTTTTCTTGACTCTATGATTATACTGGGTGATCCCGGACAGTCCTAATAATCTCCCTATTTTACAGTCAGCTGGTTAGCAGTCTTCATTTCCTACAACTTTAATTTTCACTTGCTGTGTAACATATTCACCTAATCTCTTATTAATCTACAGTGCTATTTCTGGACCCCAGCCATTCAGGCCTCTGCATCTTTACCTGTCCTGGGCTCCCCTTCCTTTTCTTGGTTTGAGTTTGCTTTTTTGACCCTTAATTTTTGTCAGTAGGCTAGATTACTATCTACCAATTTTGTTTTTCCTTCAATAGCTAGGTAACTTGTTTGTCTCTGATAACATTATTCTGTAATTTTCCTTGCTGATAGGTACTTATTTTTAAAAGGAATAGATAATATTTCTGCAAATAGTGGTTTGTTTTTCTTACAGAATGTTCAACTCTCACTGCTAACAGAAAGAGGGATGGGTGAGGCAGTACAAGAATTTGTGGACAAGGAAGAGAAGGATGCCATTGAGGAATTAGTGAAATACCAGTTGGAAAAAACACAGCGATTTCTTAAAGAACGTCATATCGATGCCTTAGAAGATAAAATTGATGAAGAGGTGAGTAATTAATTTGGGTGTAGGCCTATTTAGACAGTCTCTCCTAAGAGTAGGTCTGTTTTTTTTCTGATAAACCACTATTCAACCTTTCTGATTTGTTCAGTTTCCTTACTAATAAAGATGAGATATTAAGATGAAGATAAAACTAAAATGTCTAATATCTAGAAAGTACCTAGAACAGTCATTTACATATGGTTGGACCTCATGATTTAGTTTTATTCCCTTAGAAAATATCTTGTCCTGAAGATAAGCCTTGTAGGATGAAAATTTCTCTTTATTTCACTGCTTTAATAAGTTTTGATTGAGCTTTAGAGTCTCATCTACAACATGCATTCTCTCTAAGCATAAAGACACCAGAAGAATCACAGAAGAACATTCTTAAGATTCGACTATTAGATGTTTAAATGTTTGCATGCCAAATTGTCAGAAAGCAAAATTAAAAGGTATTGACATGGCAATATTTGTATGTGGGCAGAAGAAAGGTTAATATTCTTAATATTAAATAGCTATAATAAATCTTTAAAAATATTAAATATTCCAATAGGATAATGAACAAAGGACATGAATAGGTGGTTCACAAAAGAAATATAAATGCCTAATAAGCATATGAAAATGGTGGTTAGCCAAGGATAATCAAAGAAATTTAGATTAATTAAATGTATTTTTTATTTGTCAAATTGGGAATGATTTGAGAAAAATAGTAGTTAGTGAGAGGATTATGTTCAAATAGCTTTACTGAGAAGCATTTTGGTAGTGTATATGAAGAAGCTCAAGATTTACTATTTAAACTGGGAAATTTTCCTAAGAAAATAGTATGATAGAGATTTGTATATGGAATAATTATTCTTAGTGTTATCCACAGTGAAGAATAATTGGAAATAATTTGGTGTTGGAACATTCACAATATAGAATTCTTTACAGCCATGAAAAATTACATTTTTTAAGAACCTGGAAAAATATTTCCAATATAATGTTAAGTGGGAAAATAATTCTAAGGATGTAGAGATATACACAATATTATCCTCCTTGTTTTTATTGTATACATAAGTGTATGTGTATGCATGTGTATAAAAATTGGAAGTATTCCAGTATACTATCAACAGTTACATTTAGGCATTTGTATTATAGGTGTTCACCTTTTCTATTCCCCTTAAACAGAAGAATAAAGCATTGTTTTAAAAACACATTACCTTTGGGTTTTCCTTTCTTGAATTTACTTGACATGGTTTTCTTAAAATATTATGGTGTTATTATGTAACTAGTTTTACTCAATGACAAGTATTTTTAAAATTCAGGGATGTAAACCATACTCCAAAACTACCTAGTCTGTCCCAGTATATGTGTTATGTTTTGAGTTTTTAGTACAGGTAGATTCCTCAGGTAAGTATCCACAATAAAACATGACCCTCCCTACAGTGACACCTTGACTCCTGAGCTGCAGAAGGCTCCCAGCATGTGTGTAGGATGGTGGCTAAGAGCATGCACTGTGGGCCAGACCACCTGTATTTGAAATGAAAATCCTTATTAGCTGTGCACCCATCAGTGAGTTTTCCAACCTCCCTGTGCCTCAGTTTCCTCATCTATAAGATGGAGATAATAATGGAACCTCCTTCAGTATTGTGAAGATTAAAAGAATGAGTGCCTGGTAAATCCTCAGATGCTGCCAGACAGTGCCTGCTCGGTGTGTTTTTTTGTGACTTTTGATTCTCTTTTACAAATAGTGGCACTTTTGGTATGCTATATACCATCTGGACACTATTACATAGTATGTCATCTTTTTAAAAGATTATTATTTTTGCATTCCTCCCTGAATCATAACAAACATACTGATCTTATGCTTGAAAAACACAATTCTGCATCCCATTTCCCTTTAGCTATTGTACTGTTTCTTTGTTCCTCTTTTACATAAGAATTGATTCAGAGAGTTTTCTCCCTTCCTTTTCATTCTAAAACCATCCATCAACCTATATATATATATGTATATATGTGTGTGTGTATATATATATATATATATGTATATGTGTGTATATATATATAAATGTTTTAAATTGTTGATGGACCTTTACTTTATTTATTAATTTATTTATATGTGGTGCTGAGAATAGAACCCAGTGCCTCACACGTGCTAGGCAAGTGCTCTACCACTGAGCTATAACCCCAGTCCTCCATCAAGCTTTTGACCTGTCATTCCTTTGAAGCTGCTCTTTTGGGGGGGTCACTGATGACCTCCATTGCTAAATCTACTGTCACTGTTCTACCTTAAATGTCCCTGGACCTCTTCATGAGACATTCTCTTCAGTAGCTTCCAGGACTCCACACTGTTAAGGATTTTTCCTGCCTCACTGGCTGTGTATTCCTAATCTCTTTTCTTGATTCCTCTCATCTCTCCATCCTCTTAAATTAGAGTCCCCAGAACTATCTTTGGACCCCTTCTTCAAATTTACATCCTCTTTATAACCTTGTCCAGCCTGGCATTTGGTGGTTATTTTCAAAAGTCTAGCCCAAATCTCTCCTCTTAGATCAAGACTTGCATAGTTAACAGTCTGCTAGACATTTCCAGCTGCATGTTTAAATGGCATTTCTAACTTGTAACAGTCCTAAGTTTAGTGGCTCATCCTCACACTCTGCTTTCAGACCTGCAGTCCCTTTACAGTTCTAGTGTAAGCACCACTCTTTCAGTTACTGAGCCAAAAACTTTGAAGTCATCCCTGACTCCTGTCCTTCTGTCACCTGTATTCTGACTGTCTAGAAATCCTTTGGGCTCCACTGTTAGAATGTATGCAGTATCTGACTACTACTTTTTTTAAAATTAAATTATTTATTTATTCTAATTTGTTATATATGATGGCAGAGTGCAATTCATTTCACATTACACATATAGGGCAATTTTTCTACTCACTGGTTGTACACAAAGCATTTTCACACCATTTATGTCTTCAAGAATGTACTTAGGGTAATGATGTCCAACTCATTCCACTGTCTTTTCTACTCTGACTACTCTTACTACCTGTAACACTACAATCAGTCCAAGGCAATTTTGGGGATTTTCCCAGTAGCTTCCAAACTGATCTGCCTTCTCCTACCCTTCCTCTTCTTCTAGTGCTCCTCCATTTCTGTCCTTAGTTCAGCTGTTTAGTTATCCTAACAGATTATGAATCTAGTAACTTTTGCCTTTAAAACAAACAAACAAAAAACTTACAATTGCTTCCAAAGCTTTATTCAGTCTGGCTTTCTATTATTTCTTTATCTTCTGTCTGCTCTAGCTGCAGTGACTTCCTTGCAGTGCACATACCTTTTCCTTTGATTTTAATGATTTTCCCTAAGTATTTTCTTGATTCATGCCTTACCCTTAACATCTTCACTATTATATGATCTTTGCCCTGAGGCCTTTGTGATAATTCTTTTCACAAAGATACAACCAACACCTCCCTAGCACTCCCTGTCTCTCTTCCTGTTTTGTTTTCTTCTGAGCACTTAACAGGCTTTTTGCAAAGATTTCACAGGTTTAAATTTTTGAAAGGATTCACAAGACTTCTGGGAGCATATTCACTTAAGGTTTTTAAAGGTAAAGAGTATATAGTAAAATAAGAAGTAAGGCATCTGTTGGAATCTGAAGGCATGAGCTCTCCAAGGCCACATTCACAAACAGTGGTTCTTGGATTGAGCAGTAAGATTTGTGCAGGTGTTCCCAAGGAGTTACCCGCCCCCCCCCCAGCCACACACACACACACACACCTTTTGTACCAGGGATTGAACCCAGCGGCACTTAACCACTAAGCCACATCCTTGTCTTTTTTTATTTTTCATTTTGAGGCAGGGTCTCACAAAGTTGCTTAAGGCCTCACTAAGTTGGTGAAGCTGCTTTGAATTTATGATCCTCCTGCCTTAGCCTCTGGAGCTGCTGGGATTATAGGTGTGCCACACTGTGCCTGGATCCAAGTAGTCCTTTTGTGCCCTCTGTTCACATAATCAAGGTCATGTGATCATAATGTGTAGGTTGAATCCATCAGTAAATGCATTGACCCTGAGGATGCCAAAGGCTCCCATAGGATAAGACTTTCCAGTGTTAATTGTATTAACTGGATCCTGGATACCTTCTAAATACAATATAACTTCTTGTTTTGTTATTGGCTGTCCTCCCTTCTTTTCCATATACTCACTAGATTGTCACCTCTGTGAAGGCAGCAGAGGTTTGTGTTGTTTGTTTTTTTTTTTTTTTTACTATTTTTGTTTTCTTATTTTCTACAATAGTGCCTGGCACGTAGTAGGTACTCAGCACCTAAATATGTGCTGAGTACATTGTTAAATAAATGGGGCTTGTCTCTAGCTATGTAAGATCCTTGTGAGCAGGATCCATTAAAACATGGGATTTGTAGTTCCCCTCTTAGGTCCAGAGCCACAGTCAGCAAATATTTAGTAGTTGACCATTAACAAATATGGATCTTTAGGGACCCACTCACTTCAGATACTGTTTTAGAGAGCCTCCTATGTGTTTTGCAGCCATGTGTACAAGAGTGAATTGAGGAATGTAATAAATATTTCAAGGCTTGTAAAAGAGAAATTCTTGTTTTTAACTATTTACTGAAATATATATCCATTGGATATTAGGAACTTTTTTCTTTGAAGTCTTACAGACTTTTTCAGTAACATAGAACATCTTGGCTTCTGGTAATGTAATTTTTCTGAGAGAGAGAACTTCAGAGAAAAATATATATATATGTGAATATACACATATTTACTTCAGAAAACATTTCTAGCATTTTAATTTAAGTAACTGGAAAAATATGACTTTAATCAGTCTTTTGTGAGACAAACTGTAGTTAAATTTCCAGGTTTTGTGTTGTAATGAAAAGTATTTCTTAATCAGTGGTAGTCCATTATTTTATATTTACCTAACTGGGATAAGCAACATGTTCGTGACTTATTGTGTTATGACCTAGGTACGTCGTTTCCGAGAAAGCAGACAAAAAAATACTGAAGAAGAAGATGATGAAGTTCGAGAGGTAATTTTCTTGCTGTTAATTTCTGTACTCATCTTAGTTTGTTAAAATAGAATAACTAGTAGGTTTATTTAGAATAGTCAGTCCACAGGTGTGATGGACAGGAGTGAGCAGGGGATGCCTGAGAGTAGCTACCTTTGATTTATTTATTTGCCTACAGTATTCTTCATGCTGGCATTGCTACTTTTTTTTTCTTTTGCTGTTATCTAAAATTTGTGTATATTGTGGGGGCAGGGATACATTAAAAAAGCTCTCTTTCTATCAGAATAATATCTAGTTGCTATCAGAGCATCTTATCTATATAAGATAAAATTTTATCCTTTGAGCTTATATTTTTGAAATCCATTTTCCCCCTGGTAGTGGAGATTGAACTCAGGACCTCACATATACTAGGCAAGTATTCTAACCTATTATTTGGGGCAAAAAAGAAGCTTAGTATTTTGATTAGCATTGTTACCCTGGATAAGACTTGGCAGTTTCTGTTGTCCAATCGAAGTGTTAAAATTAGCTTGGCTACAATCATTTTTCTCTTAGTTTCTATCTTTGCAGGTTAGGAACAACAAATTAGCAATCACCTCATTAAGTTTTGAGACCCTACCTAATAGAATTTTGCATTTCTATCTAGTTCAATCTAGTGATTGAAATAGTTTTTTTTTTCTTCTTCTTCTTCTTCTTCTTTTTTTATGGTGCTGGGGATTGAACCCAGGGCTTTGTGCATATGAGGCAAGCACTCTACCAACTGAGATATATCCCCAGCCAGTTTTTCTTTTTTTTTTTTCCTGATTGTCCTTAGTGTTTTATGTTTGCCTACTAGTATTTAAAAGTTACCTCATAAATTATTTACTCTTGGGTTTTGCCTTGATTGCTTTCCATCAGCAGACATTTTAAACAGTTATGGGTTACATGTTTCACTTTAGATTAGAAATACAAATTAGAAAAAGGTGTGATCTATGTTCATAAGATTTTCTTTATTTAGTAGCTCTAAAGAAAGTATTTATTGAATTCTTTTTGATAGGTGCCTTACTTACACTATCTTAATTCCTGTTTACAAGTAAGACTGAGACCAGACTCAGGGTCACATAGTGGGGCTAGAGTTTGAACCTGTTTTAACCTTGAAATCTAAATTTGTCCACCATCATTTGTATTATCAAAGTATTAGGTTATAATAATAATAATAATAATAATAATAATAATAATAATAATGCATGACCAATGAATTGCTAAAAATTAAAAACTTATAAAACCATTATGAATGACATCAAAATCACTATACATAGATGTAACTGCTATGGCTTTTATAAGTTCTTTGTTGAAAGCTAAGTTATTTTTAAGAGCCAATAGATTATGGATCCCTTGCTACCTTTTTTACATTTTACAGGTTGCTCTTAAAATAGAAAAGAGTTTGCCAAATAGCAAAAATGCAGGCTAGAAAGAAGTGTTCTTTTTTGGTTCTTGGATCATCTAGCTTAATTAGGATTACCTCTTTCAATTTAACATATTATAGAAATCTTTCTTACTGTGGGTCCTTTATGTTTGAAGATACTAGCTTCAATTTTTTCTTAATTTTTTGAAAGGGTAAACATGAGGACTGGAAGTATAGCTTAGCGGTAGTGCCCTTGCCTGGCATGCATGACGTGCTGGGTTTAATCCCCAGCACTGGAAAAAAAACAAATCAAAACAAAAAAAACAAAAAACCCTCCACATTTTACATAAGGAAGGTAGAAAAGGATACGACACATTTCAAATTGGAATTTTTCAGAGGAAAGACTTTAATGAGTTTAGATTTTCAACTATATTTCTAAAACTTTTGCAAGTGACCAGGGCTTCTTAGGTGTTTTAGTCCAATTTCTGTTGCTCTTAACAAAATGTCTGAGGACAGGCAGTTTATAAATAGTAGCATCTGTTTAGCACACAGTACTTGAGGTTGGGAAGTCCAGAGAACATGGTGCAAGCAGCTGGTGATATCTTCCTGCAGGGTCATGACATGGTGGAGGACATCACATGGTGAAACAGCAAGTGTGCTAGAGAGATCTCATTTTCGTAATAAAGCCTCTCTTTTTTTAAAAAAATATTTTTAGCTGTAGATGGACACAATACCTTTATTTTCTTTATTTAGTTTTATATGGTGCTGGGGATAGAATCCAGGGCCTCACACATACTAGGAAAGTGCTCTACTTACAACCCCAGCCCAAGCTACTGTCTTGATAACTCATTTATTTATTAATTCATGGATGGATAATTCATTCATATGTATATCATGACCAGTCACCTCCTGAAGGTCCTGCCTCTCAATACTATTAACATATGCATTTCTAACACATGAAATTGGAGGACACATTCAAACCACTGGTAAAATTTTCAGCATTGTATACATAGGATATTAAAGATTTTCAGCCTCAGTGTACTATTTTGAACTTGGGTGTTAGAGTTTGATATTTTCCCAAGATTCAAATCAGAATATTAATCCCAGCATAATTGCTTAAATTATTTAAACAAACAGTCAAAACAAAAATATTAGTCCTTTCATTTAGGAAAAAAGCATTATACTTTGAAACTCTTGTTCATATGGAAAAAATTAAAAATTTTTCTTTAATTATAAGTTCATATTGAAACAGAGAGCCAGACAGTAAATACTAGGCTTTGTAGATCATATGTAGTCTCAATCACATATACTAATTTGTTGTTACATATATACATTTTTTAGTTGGACACAATACCTTTATTTTATTTATTTACTTTTATGTGATGCTGAGGATTGAATCCAGTGCCTCCCATGTGCTAGGTGAGCACTCTATGTTGAGCTACAACCCCTGTTGTTGTTTTTTAATAGCTTTTTAAGAATATAAAAACTTTTCTAAATATTATGCATAGTCCTTAGTTTATCTGATTTCTTAATATTCTGTCTGAATTAGAGTTAAGGTTGGTAATCTCTTTCAAAATGTGATACTAGAAATTATTGGCGGAGTGAAAAGGTAGTCCACACAATGAGAGAACTTATTTGCAAATAATGTATTCATATATCAAAGGGATTAGTATCCACAATATATTTTAAAAAGGCTTCTACAACCCACCAATAACAATAAACCCACTTGAAAGAGTGGGAAATGGAATTGAATAGACAATTTTCTAAAGATTTACAAATGTTTAATAAACAGGTGGAAAGATACTCAACATCACCAATGATTAGAGAAATGTAAAAGTCACAGTGAGATACCACCTCACACCCATTAGAATGGCTATTAAGAAAACACACTTAGAAAATAACAAGTATTGGTAAGAATTTGGAGAAATTGGAACACTATACATTGCTGGTAGGATGGAAAATGATGCAACCAAAAATTAAACACAGAATTGCCATATAATCTAGCAGTTCCACACCTGGGTATATAACCAACAGTATTGAAAGCAGGGACTCAAGTAGATATGACAAAGCAGCCAAGGTTAGAAGCAATCTAAATGTCTGAACAAATGAGTGGATAAACAAAATGTGGTACCTACTTGCAATGGAATGTTGGTTAAATCTTTAAAAGGAATGAAATTTAGATATGTGCTACAACTTGAAAACATTATGCTGAATGAAAAAAAGAGCCAGATATAAATAAACAGACATGGATATAGAGTTTCAGTTTAGGATGATGAAAATCTGTATAAGAAAAGTAGAGTTAAAGTGCTATTCAAATGTAATGTTTGATAAAGATGATGATACTGTGTTTGGGCAAAGAGAAAAATGTAGAATTTGGAAATGATGGTTGGTAATTAACTTCAAGAAATAATAATTGTAGGGCTGGGGATGTGCCTCAAGCAGTAGCGCGCTCACCTGGCATGCATGCGGCCCGGGTTCGATCCTCAGCACCATGTACAAACAAAGATGTTGTGTCTGCTGAAAACTAAAAATAATAATAATAATATTAAAAAATTCTCTACTTTTTAAAAAAATAATAATTGTAATGGGGCATATGAATTTTAAATTCTAGTTACTGCCACATTGCTATAAAGATCACTTGGGTTTGCTCTCTCACGATGGTATGAGTGCTTTTATTACCCTCATCCTTGCCCTCATGATATATTACTATATATCTTTTGATCTTTAATTTTCTTTTTGTATAGTCCTTTGTCAGTATCATGTTTGCAAACATTTGGAAGATTTCTTTCCTTGTGTTCTAGAACAATTGAAATACCAAGTGAATTATCACTTTGAAAATTTGGTTGAGTTTACCTATGAAATTTTTTGGTTGTTCTTTTTGGTGGTGTCATTCTTTTAACAGTATTATCTGATAGTCTGTTGATAACATGTTTTTTCTTGGTTAGTTTATGTTACTAATTCTCCAAATTATGTACAATTATGTCATAAGTCTTTATTTTTCCTAACTTTTTAAATACTGAATTAGTCTACTTGGTATGCCCTATCCACACTTTGTTCCTATTTCTACCCTGCATGCCTTGTTCCCTTCTCTTTAGTCCTGCCTCTCGTTTGTGGTACCATAATGCTTAGAAATGCTCTGATCATCTGTTAGATTAAGAACTTGCTTTTCCAAGTAAAAAACTATTGTCATAACATCCTAGGATATCTGTATTTGTTTTGGAGAATTCTACACTTCCTGAAGTCTTCTCAGTTTTCTCCCTTAGCCACCTCAAGTGTTCATTGTATTTATTTATTTATTTATTTTTATTTATTTTTTTTTAAGAGAGAGTGAAAGAGGAGAGAGAGAGAGAGAGAGAGAG